TTTTTTTTTTTTTTTTTTTTTTTTTTTTTTTTTTTTAAGCATGACGTCTAGGGATAAGAATAATGATCGAAATATATATCTCGGCAGTCTTGTCATAATATTATTTATTATTCGTTTCATCGGAATAATTCCAAGAAAATACGATAACGAAAATCGTATACAATTTTTGTGGATAATTACGTATCCATCTATATTTTTAATATTTTTCCGAATGAATGGAAAAATTATATACGTTTTCGTACGTAGGATAAGAAATTTTTCTTTTTCTTAAATTTATATATCATCGAAATTGGCAGATACACGAAGAAATTATTCATGAAATGATAATATCGACTGCTGGTATATATATATATATATAATTATAAATGGCTAGAGACGAGTCGGATTCACCAGCCGATTCGTCGAATTAACGATCGATATTCGATATCGAACGATTAAAAAAAAAAAAAAAAGAAGAAAAAAGGGAATTGATTTTGTTAAAAGTGCAAGAGCATCGATAAAAATCAACTAATTTTATTTCGCCCTGATGGACTAGTTTCTTTAGCGCATTTATAATTAATTTTAATTAATTAAGAATTACAGTACGAAGAAAAAAAAGCTTTCGAAAAATCTGCTTGTTTAAAAGAATACGGAAATACAGTCTGGACCTTGTCCAAGGGGACGACAATTACTTTTAAAAATTTCAAAAATGTTTTTACCGATCGTTCGTCGTGTTTCTTCGAATGGATCGCCACGAGGTTTAAGTCAATTCTATTCCTTTTTACGGGAGAGAGGCGTTACAAAAATTAGGAAAAAAGAGGGAAAGAAGAAAGTCGTTCACACGCGTTCACACACAGGTCGCTCTTTCTTCTCAGCAGAATGAAATGCCCTGTACAGTTTTTTTTTTTTTTTTTTTTTTTTTTTTTTTTTTTATTTATATCGACGATTTGGCTCTCTTCTTGTTTCCTTCTGTCGGGCGTGAGATGATGACACGACGTCACGGCCAGGGATATTGGAAAAAGGCACTAACCCTCAAAGATCCGAGAAATCAAATGTACAAAATCAGTGTGGCCGTATACGAGAGTCGACGCATACGAAATTACACCGACAGATTCCTGTCTCCATTGCTCTTCCTACACACTTTGTTACACACTATAGTCTACCACGGCAGCCAGGCGTAGAAAAATAATTCGTGCAATAATTAATCACGCATGAAATACGCCGTCCGATCGCGCCTTTATTAAACGCGAAAGAAAAAGGAATACGAAGGACGAATATCGATCTGAGAAATACGATAATTTTAATTTAACGAACGTAAAAATATTAAAAATATTATTCGACAATTTCACTTTGCAATTAATTGACGCACGAATACTTTCTCGACACTAACGCCGTAAGTCGTTTTTTTTTTTTTTTTTTTTTTAATCGAAAAGCAAACCGCCAAAATTTAAATCCACTTCGAAGCTTAGACGTCTAAAACGTTGACGCGATTTTTCTTTTGCTTTTTTTTCTTTTTTTTTTTGGCACTTGAAAACACTCTAAATACCGAACGAGGTATTGAATGAAATTTCGAAAAAAAAAAAACGGTTGATCTAAACGATGACACGATAAAAAATTATGGCACATATTCAACTCCCGACTACAAACCGTAACCTAACCTCTTCGCTTTCTCGAGTAGTAGTACCATCGAATCGATCGCCTTTATCGTTACGTCGAACACGAGAAACCCAATGTTTCCCAGGAATTTGAATTCGAATCACTGTTCCTCGTATCCTTTTTCAACAATTAGACGTCCAAGAACGAGTTCTTGATTCGCTCGAACCATCCAATCTATCTCGCATACGCAAATTTCGTCCGA